AACGGCCCCCGGCGTTCCCACCGCCCGTGACCGGCCCAGCCCCTTACGTCCAGGTGCATTTGGTTCAGGGCGTAAATGATCTCCAGGTGACGCGGCAGCAGCTTCTCGAACATGGAGACTGGCCAGCGCTCCAGGGCTTCGGGCAGCACGGTGTGGTTAGGGTAGGGGGCGGGCGGCCTGATCTCCCACGCCTGGGTGAGACGAGAGGTTCACGCGCGTGTGCCCAGACCGGGAGGGGGAAGGAATCCCTGTCTGAGGACAGGGCAGCGGCTCTTCCCCCTGCCAGGTTCGGCATGGGTCTCCCAGCTCGGCTTACCTTGTCCCAATCCACCTTTTCCACATCCACCAGGATCCGCATGAGCTCTGGGATGGACAGGGCAGGGTGGGTGTCATTTAGCTGAATGGCCACCTGCAACACAGATTTCCTGGGCTCAGACCTGGCAGTGACGAGACTGGGACGGTGTCCCACACGCATTGGGGGTGGGGGTCACCCCCAAGCCTCTCCTCATGGCACACATCTCAGACACCTTCCAGGAACGGCGCTATTCAACCGCTCCAAGTTCTGCTCCAAACTGCGATTTTTTTCCCTGGGAAAACAGGCCTGGAGATCACCTGTTTTCCACCTCAAATCGCCAGGGTCTTTGTCTAAGTGCCCCCACCCGGTCCTGAGCATCCTGCTCCCCCTTATGCTGGGCAGGCCTGGCTGAAACACCCCCGGACCCTCGCTGCCCACAGACTCACCTTATCCGGGAAGGTCTCAAAGCACGTTCTCACGGGGTCTCGACAGCCAAATTTGGAGGACTTAAAGCGGCGGATGATGTCTTGGAGGGTAGCCGCCACCACAAAGTACTCCTGCTTCAGCCGCAGCTCCTTGCCTTCAAAAAACTGCAAGTGGGGGAATGACAGCTGTCAGGGCTGGAGCTGCCACCCAAGCCCCTGCTGCTCCTGTCCGCGCTGCCGGGTTCCCGACAGGCCTCGGCACCTCATCAGGGCACACGCGGGTGCTCCTCAAACCGCTGCCAACGGGGCAGCAGCTGTAAGGACCGACGAGGGGCTCAGCATCCCAAACAGCTGCTTCCAGAGGGCAACGGAACCTGCCGCATCGGTGCTACGCCCACGGAGCAAGCGCAGCTCCCTCCCTCCCGGCGAGACCCTTTGCGGGGATTTTGGCCCGAGGATTTTGGAGTCCCTGCACTAGCCAGGAGCCAATGCCTCTGGACGCACCAGCTGCCCCCCCACACACCCCACTTCACACCGGCCTGTCCTAAAACTCCGGCAGGAACGAGAGGTGAGGGTCAAGTGCAGGGGGTGAACTTTGCCAGCACAGACGCTACTCCGTGACAGGACAGGGAGGGCTGTCCCCTTTCAGATCCGGTGCACAGAGAGCGCACAGCCTGCGACAGTCCCTGCAGGGAGAAATCCCTTCAGCTGGGGCTGGAAACGAGTCCCACCTCATGGCCACCTCTGAAATGACAACTGCGCGAAGGGTAAGCCACGTCGATTGGCAGCTGCCTTGGATCTGGAGCAGCAGTGTGTCTCTCCCTTCCTGGAGCAGCTACCCAACACGGGCCAGACCCTCCGCTGCCATCAGCCAGCAGCGCCGTGTCTGTTCACCGAGAGTTAAAAGGGCCAACGTATCGTATTAAACCCCCTCCAACCAGGACAAGGAACATCAGGCGGCCGTGACCTTCCCGTGCTCGCAAACAGGCGATACAGCTCGAGGGAAGATGCTCCCGAGCAGCAGGGAAGAGGCAGGAGAGTCACTCACGTTGTCATTTGGGTACAGGACTCTGGATATGTTTTCCGCCAGGTTTCTGTCCAACACCGCCTCGATGTAGTCGCCCACGTTGACTGGAGCAAGAGAGAGAGAGAGACTCAGCACTGGACTCAGACAGGCCCCCGACACTGTGCTTTTTCCTCCTGCAGAAAGGTTTGTGATGGGAACATTCCGACTGGTGTTAATGGAACACGAATGGGAATATGTGTGTGCCAGGCACCGGAGAGACAGGAGATGGGATAAGAGCAGGGCACATCTCCATGCAGTTTCTCAGGACACACGTATCAGGAAGGACAGACAGAAACTGGAGACAGCAGCCAGGGAAGGCAAAAAAAAGGGAGTGAGCAAACCAGCCACCTTGCGTAAGGACTAAGGAGAACTAGGGCAGGGCGAAGAAGCGCAAAGACCACAGTCACGCTCCTGAAGGCTACCGAAGGCTTATCGGAAGCCCAGCTCGCAGCTGGGAATTGAGCAGCAGAACTGAAGAAACATTACAAGGACTTGAGTGCCACCGCCCCTGTCCCACACGAGTTCTCCCGGCGGGGCTGCCTGGACACACACAGCTCTGCGCTTCTCAGTATGGCAGGATCAGTCCGGCCGAGAACCCTCTGTAACAGCCCAGCACTGACATCTCTCTCAGTTTCCCTGCATCTGCTCTTCAGCACTGCAGCGGGAGCCTGACGGGGGGATCATGCAGACCCGAGGTGGGCTGTGCACTCTTCTCTGTCAGACCTAAGGGATGACGATCCACGGAAGCGTGGCTTGCAGCTCGCTTGGTGATGTAGGGAATGCGGCGGCGGGTGGTCTATCGCCTGGGGAAGGCACAGGGCAGGTTTTGGGAGCGTGAGGGGAATGGAAAGGGGACAGATGGGTGTCCTGGTGCGAAAGGCCTGCGGAAGCGGTTGGAGGCAGTGTGATCCACGGATGCTGTGTTTTGGAGGTAGCCGGGAGGTGTGGATAAAGCAGGCCAGGTGGGGAATGCTGTGCCAGGTGCTATTGCACAGGGACAACCGTGTCCCAGCTGGCCAGGAGAGGCCGTGGAGGGGCAGCGCTTACACTCTTGGAGGTTGAAGTCATTGGGCGCTTTCGCAGACCACAGCCTCATGGTGTTCACGGTGTTGTTCTTGTATCCTGGCACCGGCGTGTCGTAGGGCATAGCAAGGACAACCTGCAAAAGGACAGTATTCCCCCTCTCATTAGCAGCACTGTGGCCTCAAGAAAAGGAGCTGAAATCCCTGCAGGAAGAATCCAGAGGACACAAGGATCTCGCCCTGCTGAGCTTGCTATCTTGGGCACTTCCATCACCCACCGGCAAAGCATTAACAGGAGCAGCAGAGCTGTTTGGGGCTTTACTGACAAACTGGGGTTGCAGGCCCATCGAAGAGATGTGAAAGAGAGATGCAAGCAGCCTGCTGACCTGCCCATACCGACTGGTCATTCACCAGAGCACCGCAGGCATCCTCAGCTGGCCACTGCGATGCTCTCTGTGCTGGAGTAGGGCCAAGACAGCTGGAACCTTTGTGTTTCCACCTGGGATAGAATCCACAGCCTGAATCCTGCCTGTTAGCCTTCTGCAGCCTGCCAGGATCAAATCCTACCGCCACAGCACCATCCCCAGAGCAATTCACTGCACATTTGAGGTTTCTTGAACCTGCCTAGATAAATGCACCGACAACTCCAGCACCCGAACTGGAGTGCAAAGCTATGAGTGCAGTCTACGGGTGATGCTTAAGCATCAGGATGCTGCACACATGGCTACAGAGAGCAACACTGGGGTTCCCAGCTCAGGTTACCAAGTTTGTCTGCTCCAGCCGGCTGCTCTGCCAACGCCTGCGTGCCTCCAGACCTGCCGAGGGCAAGGCAGGGCACCCCGACCCCAGCCTGGAGCAAAGAGGCGGATGGCTTACGCCAGCAGAGATGAATGGTGCTCGCACAGCACGGCCCTGATGCAGGAAGCCTGGGCCACCCCTCTGACCCTGGCAAAAGGAGCCAGCATCCTCCTGCACATGTCCGTGTGCGCTGGCAAAGGGTCGAGAGGCGGCAGAGAGCTGAAGGAGCCGTGCTCACAGGGCAGGGAAAACCTGGACAGATCAGTGTGAAGAGCCTCTTGGTGCTGGTGTCAGCAACACCTCCCTTCCGGGGAGAATTAGCAAGAGCTCAGGCTCTCAAAGCTGCTGCTGCCAGCCCCGAACATGGAAGCAGGCAGAAAGCCTGCCCTGCCTGAGCCACGGGACTGGAGCACACATCACGTGCACGGTGCTATATTTGGAGACTGCATCTTTGGCGTTTTTGAACCTTTCCAACTTGTTCCCTTAATGGCACTATCTGAAAATTCACCTCCTTGTAGGAAGCAGTGTTTCAGCTGCAGTGCTTGGGATCCCTGGAACCCCCGGACTACCCCTGTGCTCCGAACAGGCGTGTGCTCTGGAAGCACAGCGTTACCTCCCCAACCGTGCGAGGTTGGAGAAGGGTTTGCTCTCCACGGTGTCACAAAACAAGGCCTCCAGGCAGACTGGAGACGTGAAACGGTGCCTCCAGCCTGCCCTGACAGCACCCTGCCAACCAGGCTGGTCTGGGAAAGAGGAACTTGGGCTGAGCATGGGAGTTAAACACCCATGGGATGGCTCCGTGGCCACTCCATGAGAGCAGTATCTATCCACAGCAGCAAAACCACCGGGTTTGAGCCAGCCGTAGCCCGGAGCAGTGCGGAGGGAGCTTACGGCTGCCAGGGATACAGCCTTCCCGACACAAATCCCGGCAGGACTGCGGGGCCTCGTCCCGGAGATCAGCAGAGGAGGAGGCGCAACTGAAGTTCCCGCTGTGACTGAGCGTCATCCCTCTTTTTCCCCAAATCCTGCTGCCGCCGCAGCCAATGGAGTCACCTTCGTAACTGCCAGAGTTTTGCCAGACGGAGAGAGAAGCGAAGCCTGACCTCAGGCAGCCCGGGGACACCTTCCCCCTCCACGTGACCCCGGCCTGTCCCCCCACCCCCAGCCCAGCGCCGAGGGAGCTGTGGTACCTGGGTGTCGACCCATCTCACACCCTCGGGGGTGTGATCCAGGCGGCCGTAGAAGTGCACGGGGAGCATGTACTCTGGGCGAGCTTTCTCCCAGGGGTTGCCGTAGCGCAGCCAGTCGTCGGCCTCCTCCACCTGCAAGAGGCAAACACGGCTCGTGTCTCCACGGGACGGCTCAACAAGGCTCTCCGAAGGGAGGCCAGCTGAAAAGCCAAGCTTTAGTAAGCTGGCTTCAAAAACGCATCTGCAGAGGCCTCTAGAGGACAGCTGGGCTTTCCAAAACAGGGATGACTGCTTCCCAGCGGGTATAAATAAATCAGCCTCTTGGGCTCAGCGGGGCTGTACAGATTTCAACCACCCAAACTTGCTCTGGCTCGAGGGCTTTATATCCAGTCTGCCTGCCATAGTGGGATATGTGGGATTGGTTCCCTAGAAGCCCACCGCTGCTGTTCCTGGCCACAAACCACTCCCCGTAACCCAGGTCTCGCAACTGCTCTGCTCGAGAGGGTTTCTCCTCTCTGCTCACAGCAGCACCAACGGGAGCGACGCGAATTTGGGGCCGATGCGCACCAGGAACCAGAGGGGCTGAGGACGTGGGGAGATGCCCTGTGCCCACAGGCATTTCTCTGCCAGGCAGAGGGCAGGTCTCAGCCACAACCAGCATCAACACCACCCTTGTTCTTTTTAAAGTAACATTAAACCAATTACACTGGATGCTTTTTCCCCGTTTTCCCCATTTATAGGGCCTCACATTGCAGCTTCTTTGTGGGAAGGGAGGAAAAAATAACCCTCAAACCTCTCACCCTCCCTGACTTATGGAGAGCTATTTTAAAGGAGCAAGAAGGTCCTTTATGCTCAGAAGCCAGGCACGACTCCTAATGGAGACCATCTCCAGGGAAAACTGCCAGCTGGGGCATTTCTTTAGCCTGTTTGTCACTTGCAAAACACTATAATCATTAATGCTACAGGACAGTCCCCGTTTAAGCCCAGTCACCCAGGGAAGACGGCAGGAGCAGCAGCACCCCAGGCACTTGCACGTGTTCCATCACGTCTGGCAGAGGCAGCCACTGCAGGAGAAAGGAAGGAGAAGGGGCGACCCGAGTTTGCCACCGTACCTGCCAGCCATCGACGATCTTCTGGTTGAAGATGCCGAACTCGTAGCGGATGCCGTATCCGTACGCCGCCGTACGCCGCCAGCCCCAGGGTGGCCATAGAGTCCAGGAAGCAAGCTGGAAGAGCAGAGCGTGGTCGGGCGGCGAGGAACCTCAGCCCTTGCTCACTGCTGCAGCGTGCCGTGCGCGGGGTGAGGAGCTGCCACGACCAAGGAAACACCTATTGCTCGGAGGAGACATGCATGCAGAGGGGATGGATGGGGACAGCCTGCAGCAGGACCCCATGCACATCCTGCTGAGCCACTACAAGCACCCCAAAAGTTATTGGTGACAGGGACAGGCCACCAAAACCTCAAATCCAGCCTTGTCATGGTGAGAGTTCTTCTAAACTTGCCTGGGGTGCCCACGCCTTGCTCTAAGCTGGCCCGCCCGGAAAAGCCTGGCTTCTGACTGACTCGCTGCTGCACCAGCCGCTTCGCTATCGCTGCTTCCCGAGCAAAGCAAACCCTTCCAGCCCCAGTCTGGGGCAGCCCTGGTAAAGGTCAGCCCCGCGATTTCCTCTGCGCTGGGGAGCTCTTGTCCCCAGCAGCGCCACGGGACAGGCAGACTAAACCAGCAGCCAACGATCTGCCTACGTGAAAGCTGCTGGGGTGCTTCCGAAAAGTGAGATTTCACGGGGAGGTGAGGAGACAGGCTCCAGACAGCCTCCTCCAGGCACAGCCCCGCCTGCTGAGCCGCAGGCTGCACAGCTACGTCCCCTGGACGCTGTCACTGGGGAGGGGGCTCGTTTCTGGCCAGCTGGGAGCTGGCAGGAGGTCCGCACGCGGCTGAAGGGCTGCAGGGCAGATGCGGGTTGAGGTGCTGGGGGCAATGACAGCCTCCAGCCAGGCCGCCCTTGGTCCCCGTGCCTTCCGCACGAGGAGGGGGCTCCCCGCTCCCTGTATTACCTGCCAGGCGGCCCAGACCTCCGTTTCCCAACCCAGCATCCTCTTCAATTTCTTCCAGCTCCTCCAAGTCCAAGCCCAGCTATTGGGGAAAAGAGCCACAGTAGAACATGTCAGCACCTGGAGCCCACACCCTGGGGCTTCTCTCCGAGGAGGGCAAACGGATCCCAAAACAACCCACGCCACAAGAAATTAAACCCACAGGGCTCCCTGCATCCCCCTGCCCCCGCTCCCCACAAAGCATCTCGCCAGCCTCTGGTCCCTGGGTGGCTCAGTTAATTAGAAAACAATTTAGCCCATCATCAAACGTTGCTTTCCCATGAACTAGGTTTCCTTAGAGACCGCAAACAAAACACTCGTCCCCTGGCAGTCCCTCGCGCCAGGAGGCCCTTC